ACCCTAATTCCACACATTATCAAATACCTTTCAATTAATATTTTTGTCTCTACAGTAAGCCCAAATATATAAATATCTTTATCTTTATATTCGAAGTATATAACAACAGAACCGTGGGGAAAAAACTGTTCCCGCCAGTCAAGCTAAGCATATCACGCACTTGACATAACTGCTTTTCTCATTATTTATTTATCTTTATAATTTTGTTTCTTATCCTTAAAATAACTGGCAGATTAAGAGCCCGTTTGGTAGCACGAAAATCGGCTGTTTTGGCTGATTCTGCTGAAATTTCTGAAGTTCTGGCTGAAGTGGCTGCATTGGCTGATTCTGCTGATTAAGAAACTATTATTTTTAAAATATATTTTATTAATAAAATAAAGAAAAAATTATATGTAAAAATAGTTAAAATGATCATCTACAGTAACTTCAGCCAAAACAGCCAGAAAAGTAACTTCAACCTTACTTTTTCTGCTTATTACACAACTCAGCCCGCGAAAGTAATAGTTACGTGTTTGGTGAAAAAGTTGGCTGATAAGCCTGATAAGGCGAAAAACAATGCTGCCAAACGGCCTCTCTAAATATGTGTTGCAAGATTTAGACAGTTTCCACTCCTATGCAACTTGCCCGGATAGCTAGCGGTAGTTCCTAACCATTCCAAACTAACTATATAGCTATGCATGAAGTAACATAGCCTTCTCTTTAGATCTAATATATTTGACATCACAAGCCAATATATTATACCTAGTACATACATGTGTTTTAGATTTCATGATCAGATACGTTCACGTCTCACATCAAATCTAAATAGTACATTTGTACATCATTGTTGTGTTTGCTGAATTATTTATATCCATATTCACGGTACTATAATTGGGATAGCATACTCATAAATATAGGCAGGATAAATTATAATCGATTCATATGCTTTTGTATAAATAAAGATATGTGTCAGAGTACTTATTCAGATCATATCTGCCAATGTTTAATTTCAAAAAAAAATTATGCCAATGGAGAGCTTTTCTTTCTGGGTTTTTACAAAAAAAAAAAAAAAAACCTTCATGACCAGTCTCGCGGCTAAAAGTACATGCATCCTTTTCAGTAAATACTTAAAATTTAATTCTTTTTTGGGATACTTAAAATTTAATTCTATGATTTCCAAACTCATTAGTACAACCATTGAATGTAAATTTGCCACTTGTATCAAGTATTCTAACAAGAAATACACTAATGTAACTTCCTTTTAGGAGAACTGATCAAACTAAAGAAAGTTGTTTCTAAATAATTGAATAGTATCTTATACTCCCTCCGGTTTTATTTAATCTTCACACTTTGACTTCACACAAAATAAGGAAAGAAATTTGACTTTACTGTAGAGTACACTGTTGAGGCACTGTTTGACACTGTTTGGCACTGTAGAGACACTGTTTGGCACTGTTGAGACACTGTTTGGCACTGTTTTGATGTAGATTTCTTTGCCAAAAAAGGAAATAAGGAAGTGTGAAGTTTATTTTAGACCGTCCCAAAAAGGAAAGTGTGAAGTTTATTAAAAACCGGAGGGAGTAATTAACACTCCAGATAATGACACATGCACACCCCACACACACATGCACACCACACCTATATAGATACGCATTACCCAAACAAATATAGTGGACAAAAATGTGACTTCTATGTTGATGGTGTGAATTTCCTATTATGTATGTTTGTATTTTCAACTAGTTTTATTAGTTCTAGTTTTGAAAATTACACACTTTTGGTGTAATATTTTAGTTTGTGAAATTATTTGTAATTTATTTAGATTAGGATTATTCTAAGTTTAGGACAGGTCAAAATCATCCCAAGAATCAAAGGATGGATCCTAAAGACCAAAGAATGTGCAAAAGAGAGAAGATCAAATGAAGATTTTGAAATTTGTTCAGTACTCGGTAGAGTATTGCCAATACACGATTGAGTATTGAAAAGATAGGCTAGTCAAAATCAAATCTGGGAGCAAAAGAATGTGGCTGAATATTTGATGAAAATCCTGTCTCATACTCGATCTACTACACTATACTACGTATAGGTGCTAATATCGAATTTATTTTGACGCACTACAACAAAGTGCTCGTCATATATACATAGTAATTGTATTGGTAACTTTTGGTTACTATATATGATGATGTTCAATTTTATGCTGCTATATAGTGACAATGATTGAATATAATTCATCGGATGGCTTAATTACACTAGCTAAAAACTGAAATGATGATCCCTATTGCTACAGATGGAGGGAGAGTTCTACGCATAAACATAGCATAAGCTTTGTTATAGATTACACTAATTGTCTAATTAAAAAAGATACTACTACAAAATCTAAGCGATGGACATGAAAGAACACATACATCAATAATCTATCTATGGTAGTACATCAGAAAGCTGGTTTGGGATATACTTGCGCACCCATACTAGTTTTCCATTAATGGAGAGTTTGGCTTTATGGGTGTTTCATGGTGCCTCAGTGAAGCATACAGCCCAAGGCGGCAGCTCGGACACCGATCGAGAAGATGATGGTGAGGCACTGGAAGAATCCAGCTGCCTGGCCGTCTGCGGCGTCACTGAAGCCATTTCCATGAGATCCTTCAATGCTCTCACACACCCACCGTCCACAGCCTTCTTGATCCCGAAAGTTGTCGCAGCTCTGCTTTGACGCAAGAAGTAAAGAGATAGGTGCTTTCTCACGAGACCACAACTATACATTTCACTTTATACTCACTTTCTTAAAATCTGATCCAAGTCAACGTGGAAACTATTTATGGGACGGAGGAAGTACACGCATCCTTTTTAGCAAATAGTTAAAATTTAATTCCATGATATCCATCATTAGTACACCAATTGATTGTAAATTTGTCGCCTTCATCAAGTATTGTAAGAAGAAATGTACTAATGGGAACTCCTTTAAGGAGAACCGATCTATCTAAATCAGTTCGAGAAAGGGGAAATCTATTAAACAATCACTACAAGAGAAACCCATTTCTAAATCAGATATTCAAATCTTCGTTCTTTAGGTTTTCAAATATTCATTCTTCGGATCTTCGAATCTTCAAAACTTTGTTACTTGAATCTTCAAATGTTTTTCAATGCAGAGTTCAACTTGAAGGGCTTCAGTTTTCAAGTAGCTTGATCTTCAATATAAGGGCCGTTTTATGGCTTGATCTTCTGTTAAAGGGTTTTTCAGGATATATGGCTTGATCTTCAATTGAATCTAGATTCCATCTTCATATGAATATCTTGAAATCTTAAAACACTCGTTGTTCATGTCTTCGAATCTCCAAAACTTTGTTCTTTGGATCTTTGAATCTTTAAGCTTCGTTGTTCAGATCTTCGAACGTTCTTCATCTTTTAGACTTATTTTATCAAGAATGGATGAAACCACAAATGATTATTCGTATATTCTTGAGAAAATTTATATCTTGATTTCTTCCTTTTATTCAGAATCCTTCAGAGCTTCTCGGGAGTTCTTCAGAGTTTTTCTGCAACGTTTTTTCATCTGGAAATTCTCTCCTCCTCTCAACTCAGACCCCTATTTATAGGTGAGGAGGGGCTGAAAATGATTTGGGGTTTCTCAAATTCATCCATATGCCTAGGACTTTGGGCTCTATTTGTTGGCTTTGGGCTCGAAATATAACTATATAAGATGTATCTGGACAGTCTTTTTAACAAAGTTTGTGGCTATTTTGCATGCATATGGATGGATTTCATAACTAGATTCGTCCTCCTCTTCATATATTGGATCATGTATCTTATTTATTGGGCCATTATTTGATAATGGGATCAAGATAAAGCATGTTTTTACTTGGATTGTAATTTGTTAAACTAGTCTGGTCTGATTTAGTCTGATATAGTCTGGTCTGGTTCGGTAATGTCTGGTATTTCTTTGTATTTTTATAACTATCGAAGTCTGGTTTGGTATGATCTGTTCTAGTATGGTATGAGACAGATTACCTTCCAAGTAAAACATCCAAATAAATTAATAGGACCGGTCCATTCTTTTCAAAGAATTAAATTAATTCTTTATTTAAATTATTTGAATTAATTAATATATATTGAAATGGATCCATATTACGTAGTAATATTTTTCTTTTGATAAGACTCAACAACTATCTGAATGGTCCAGTAGAGTTTATTGATAGCCCGATAGTACTTCATAGAGGCCCAATAAAGTGTCAATCATAGTTGATCTAATAATTCATAAATGTCCACAAATGGACAAAAATGTGACTTCTTATATGTACGTAGTGATTGTATTAGTAACTATGATTATGTTCAGTTTTACTCTATAGTGACTATGATGTTACACTCATATAATCACTTTAGTCACATTATGTTTGTGTAAAGAGGGAAACTGATAGCAGGGGCGGACGCGCTTTGTTTAGGGGTGTCCTCACTCATAATGCTTTTACGGCACACTTTGTCCTCACTCGTATGCTTTGAGAAACTTCTTGGGGGTATGGTCACTCATCCCAAGGCTACTCCTGTACAAGCTATATATAACTTGGAGTTCTTAGTTGATGAGATCCCTTAAAAGTAGATGCACCTTATTGGTATGAGTAGTATGTACTATTAACCCTTAAAAATTAATCTCTAGTATTACCCACAGTGTTGACACCTTGGGGAATGCAAAAGTAAGCAATTTAGTTCATATCCATCTCTACAACAATATAATTTAGTTCTTACATTTAATTTTCAGAAACAAAAAATCTTTTTTATGCAGCCTAGGTGGGCATTGATGAAATTTCGCAAGAGGAGATATAGCAACCAAATTCCTTTTGAGAAATTTATCCCCGGTAAGACTAAAACTCCGATCCTTTACCATTATATGACTCCCCAGTTTTTTTCCCAATATGTGTTTTATATTAGACCTATTCGTACGGCCAGAGCTGAGGTTTTTATTTTTTTTCCTTTGATACCCTCATAAGTCGGTTATGGTATGTCTCGGTCTTATCATTTTCTTCCCATTTAACCGCTGCCCATTAAATGTTGATTCCGTTAAAATAGGTAAGGAAATAATATGACTCCACGTCTCTTAACCTCTCTCTGTATATCGACGGCGGTATTCTTGGTCTCAAGCACCACATCGTTCAATCGTCCTTGTACTCGGATTTCATGGAGTTTCTTTGCCCTTCATCGAACATACGCGTGATGATCAAGGTACATGGGGAATGGGATAGTAACCTTCAGTTTCATAGTTTATGTTCAATTCCCATTGATATTCCGTTATCATGTTCATTTCACGATTTCTGCAACATTTTAAACGGTACATTGGGTTTGAAGTACATGGAGGAACATATTAGGATTTCATACGTCTTTGAGCTTTGTCCTCCCCCTGTTGTTATTAATGATGATGCGAGCCTGATGTTCTATTTGCAAATGAAGTTCATTCAATCTGACGTGAATAAACTTCCTTTGTGCATTGAGGTTCTGCAACCAGTTCAAGGTATACGTTTCATTCTATTTCCTTTGTTTTACTCATTGTTTTGCATACATTCGTTTTATAAATTTATCATTAATGAATGTTATTTTTTTTAATTTAAGGCGGAATTGTGAATGAGGTGTCAAATGATGGTACAACTGCGGTTTGTGATGATGGACATTTGGAAGTCATCAATGAAACTGAACCTGTAGTCGGACCAAACGAAACAACAACCTTCGCCGGTGATATTGTAGTTCATGACTCCGGCATTGAATGCAGTGACCTGAGCCCTTTGTCATTTGGGGATAATGTGTTAAATGATGATTCGCCAAGCTCATTTGAAGTTCCTCTCCCGTCTTTTGTGTCCCACTTTGACCCTACTCGTCTTGCTGTCGACGCTATATATGAAAGCAAGAAGGATTTTGATTTTAATTTGAAGATGTTTGCAATCACCAATTTTTTTCAATACCGAACATTGTCATCATCTCCAAAAGTTTTGCATGTTATTTGTGTGTATCCAGAGTGCAAATGGGCTGCTCGTGCTGTCCGTGTTGATGAAAGTGGCCTGTTTCAAGTGCGAAGGTTAGCACTACCTTTTTTAGAATAATGATGTATCGATGATTTTCACATATTATTGCATTGACTGCGTTATGCTGCACACCCATTGTATTCTTTTATACACATTTCAATTCTCATACTTCTTTATAAAAATGTTCAGATTTGATAACAAGCACACATGTCCCATCGATGTTAGACAAGCTAATAGTCGTCAGGCATCTGCATCTCTTATTGCCGAACTCATTAAACATGAATTTGATGACGTGGCAAAAAAAGTTTACACACCCCATACAATTATGGCAGACATGCAAAGAATTCATGGAATCGTGATGTCTTATAAAAAAGCTTGGCATGCAAGGGAAATTGCAATTCGATTGGCTCGGGGATCAGAAAAGGACTCTTACAAGAGGCTACCATCTTTGTGCCATATGCTGGACCAAGCAAACACAGGTTCTATCGTCACACATTCTTCCAATTCAAATGGAGAATTTGAGTTTTTTTTTATGTCTCTTGCGCCATGGAGGGCTGGATGGGAACATTGCATTCCAGTAATCATTGTTGACGGTTCTTTTATGAAGTCATATTATAAGGGAACACTACTAACAGCATGCACTCAAGATGCGAATAAGCAAATTTTTCCACTTGCATTTGCTATTTGTAGTGTTGAAAATACGGTGAATTGGACATGGTTTTTTAATATGTTGAAAAAGTCTCTTACACATAGGGAAGACTTATATGTCGTGTCAGATCGCCATGAGGGAATCTTAAATGCTGTGCATTCCGTCTTTCCACATGCGGAACATGGTTTTTGTGTTTACCATATTTTAGGCAATATAAAATCCAAATTTCGTGGATCTCCACGTTTGGTGTCTTGGAAATTTTTACAGGCAGCCCGGGCTGGTTCGGTGTACGAATGTGAAGAGTACCTATCCATGCTTGATTACGATGACCCGGAAATTCGAAGATACTTGGAGCGAATTGGTCATGACAAGTGGTCTCGTGCATACGCTAGCCGCAATAGATATTCAGTCATGATGTCCAATAATGCAGAGTCTTTGAATGCTGTTGTTGTCACTGCTCGTGAGTATCCCATTTGCAAGTTGATAGAATTTATTGTCGGCACAATGCAGAAATGGTTTTGTGATCGTAGAGAAGCTGCTGCAGCCAATGAATCTCGGTTATCTGCCCATTTTGAATCCCAGTTGATACTGTCTCAAGCTAATGCAGCTGTAATGCAGGTCATTCAATGCAGTAACTGGATTTATGACTTTGTAGTTTATTGTTTACTTTTTTTTAGTTTTTTTTTGTTAATTCTGCAAATATTTTGTTCACAGGTTCGCCCATCATGCAATTTTGAGTTTGAGGTTTTTGACAGAAAAGGAAGAATATATGTTGTCAATTTAAGAGCAGGAACTTGTACTTGTCGTGAATTCCAGCTAGATGGCTTCATATGTGTTCACGCTGTTGCTGCAATACGATCTCGCCCTGGTCTTTCTTGTTACGATTATATTCCTCAGTATTACACTAATCATAAATGGGTTGCAGCATACGACGGCATTATTCATCCAATTGGTAGTCCTGACGGTTGGGTTGTTCCTCGTCATGTATCTGAAACCATTTGTAATCCTCCATCATGTTCCAAGCGCCCCCCTGGAAGACCTAAGAAGAGACGAATACCATCCATTGGTGAACATGTGAGGAAACAAAAGTGTACTCGTTGCTTGACAGTTGGTCACAACAAAAAGACATGCAGAAACCCCATTCCGCGTTGCTAATGTTTCATTTTTAAAACATTTTTTTACTTTATTATGTTATTGACTATTATTTTTTACACTCATGTTTGTCTGACATTAGAGTATTGTCTTTTTATTTAAAAGCTTTGGAAGCATTATGGTATTATTACATTCATTTATGCATGGTATTATTACATTCATTTACTCCAATCATTTTATGAGAAATTATATCTACATTTATTAGTTATATTGTTATGGCATTCCTTCTTTTTCCAGCTTTTTTTTTATAAAAATTATACTCTTTTTCAATTTTTGTCAAAACATAATTAACATTTGAGGCATTAGAATGGTGCATTATCTTTTAGCATTTAAGTGCTCAATGCTTCGAGCACTTAAAGGATACATGCTATATGGCATTATTCAGAGTTACTGTAATTCAATTATAAGAACAATTTGCACAACGCATTACATGTCTACAATATCTGCAATATCTAGATACTTTAACACATAAATGACATGAACGTGCACATACCATTCAAAACATAAAACCGAAAACCACAATCTCAGTTCCAAACATTAAAAACATAGATACCATTCATTTACACCATCAATTAAAGTTACTATCAAATCCATTCATCCAACCATTCAAAAAACCGAAAACAATAAACATAATGTCACATAAATCCAAAGCATAAAGTGACTTAGGAGAAAACAGACTACGAAGTTTGGCCAAAAACCAAAAACAAAGTCACAACTTTTCAATTTCTCTGAAACAACTCAATCCACCCCATACAACTGAGGGAGTCCAAAGTGCTTAAACAGGTCTATCACCATCTTCTTCCGATAATGCCAAAAAAAGTTTACACACCCCATACAATTATGGCAGACATGCAAAGAATTCATGGAATCGTGATGTCTTATAAAAAAGCTTGGCATGCAAGGGAAATTGCAATTCGATTGGCTCGGGGATCAGAAAAGGACTCTTACAAGAGGCTACCATCTTTGTGCCATATGCTGGACCAAGCAAACACAGGTTCTATCGTCACACATTCTTCCAATTCAAATGGAGAATTTGAGTTTTTTTTATGTCTCTTGCGCCATGGAGGGCTGGATGGGAACATTGCATTCCAGTAATCATTGTTGACGGTTCTTTTATGAAGTCATATTATAAGGGAACACTACTAACAGCATGCACTCAAGATGCGAATAAGCAAATTTTTCCACTTGCATTTGCTATTTGTAGTGTTGAAAATACGGTGAATTGGACATGGTTTTTTAATATGTTGAAAAAGTCTCTTACACATAGGGAAGACTTATATGTCGTGTCAGATCGCCATGAGGGAATCTTAAATGCTGTGCATTCCGTCTTTCCACATGCGGAACATGGTTTTTGTGTTTACCATATTTTAGGCAATATAAAATCCAAATTTCGTGGATCTCCACGTTTGGTGTCTTGGAAATTTTTACAGGCAGCCCGGGCTGGTTCGGTGTACGAATGTGAAGAGTACCTATCCATGCTTGATTACGATGACCCGGAAATTCGAAGATACTTGGAGCGAATTGGTTATGACAAGTGGTCTCGTGCATACGCTAGCCGCAATAGATATTCAGTCATGATGTCCAATAATGCAGAGTCTTTGAATGCTGTTGTTGTCACTGCTCGTGAGTATCCCATTTGCAAGTTGATAGAATTTATTGTCGGCACAATGCAGAAATGGTTTTGTGATCGTAGAGAAGCTGCTGCAGCCAATGAATCTCGGTTATCTGCCCATTTTGAATCCCAGTTGATACTGTCTCAAGCTAATGCAGCTGTAATGCAGGTCATTCAATGCAGTAACTGGATTTATGACTTTGTAGTTTATTGTTTACTTTTTTTTAGTTTTTTTTTGTTAATTCTGCAAATATTTTGTTCACAGGTTCGCCCATCATGCAATTTTGAGTTTGAGGTTTTTGACAGAAAAGGAAGAATATATGTTGTCAATTTAAGAGCAGGAACTTGTACTTGTCGTGAATTCCAGCTAAATGGCTTCATATGTGTTCACGCTGTTGCTGCAATACGATCTCGCCCTGGTCTTTCTTGTTACGATTATATTCCTCAGTATTACACTAATCATAAATGGGTTGCAGCATACGACGGCATTATTCATCCAATTGGTAGTCCTGACGGTTGGGTTGTTCCTCGTCATGTATCTGAAACCATTTGTAATCCTCCATCATGTTCCAAGCGCCCCCCTGGAAGACCTAAGAAGAGACGAATACCATCCATTGGTGAACATGTGAGGAAACAAAAGTGTACTCGTTGCTTGACAGTTGGTCACAACAAAAAGACATGCAGAAACCCCATTCCGCGTTGCTAATGTTTCATTTTTAAAACATTTTTTTACTTTATTATGTTATTGACTATTATTTTTTACACTCATGTTTGTCTGACATTAGAGTATTGTCTTTTTATTTAAAAGCTTTGGAAGCATTATGGTATTATTACATTCATTTATGCATGGTATTATTACATTCATTTACTCCAATCATTTTATGAGAAATTATATCTACATTTATTAGTTATATTGTTATGGCATTCCTTCTTTTTCCAGCTTTTTTTTTTAAAAATTATACCCTTTTTCAATTTTTGTCAAAACATAATTAACATTTGAGGCATTAGAATGGTGCATTATCTTTTAGCATTTAAGTGCTCAATGCTTCGAGCACTTAAAGGATACATGCTATATGGCATTATTCAGAGTTACTGTAATTCAATTATAAGAACAATTTGCACAACGCATTACATGTCTACAATATCTGCAATATCTAGATACTTTAACACATAAATGACATGAACGTGCACATACCATTCAAAACATAAAACCGAAAACCACAATCTCAGTTCCAAACATTAAAAACATAGATACCATTCATTTACACCATCAATTAAAGTTACTATCAAATCCATTCATCCAACCATTCAAAAAACCGAAAACAATAAACATAATGTCACATAAATCCAAAGCATAAAGTGACTTAGGAGAAAACAGACTACGAAGTTCGGCCAAAAACCAAAAACAAAGTCACAACTTTTCAATTTCTCTGAAACAACTCAATCCACCCCATACAACTGAGGGAGTCCAAAGTGCTTAAACAGGTCTATCACCATCTTCTTCCGATAATGCCATAGAATTTTATCATCCAATGCTCTAAACAAACCATTTGAAGTAAATTTACTTCACCTTATTAATTAATGGTTCTTTTTCAATGTTCTTCTTCAATTGAAGATCTGCCACAATGTTGTCCACGGCTTCCACCAGTACCTGAGTACTTAAAGGCTCTTCAAATCCATCATCCCACTTTGTAGCATCAGGGGCTGATATTTCCTCAACATGACCCGATACCTCATCCGCCACATATGCCGGCTGATCTGCCACAAACTCCATCGACATATCTGCAGCTTCCTTATGCTCAACTCCATCATTTGCCTCATTGAACTCCGGTGCAAGATCAAATGATGGAATGTCCTGATACCTTGGCTCTCGTTTCTTTCTTAAAAAGTTAAACTTGCCTATCACACCAGCCTTCCCTTTTTTAACATTAACCATCAACTTTTTAATCATACTCGCTTGCTTCACTTGTAAATCACACAACTTTTTAATGGTATGCTCCAGCTTCTCAATTCGTTCACCTTGTTGTCTCAATGCAATCAGCAAACTTTCACTGCCATCAGTGCTTGTTGGAATTGCATTGACAGAACCTCCAACGTCAAACCGCTTAGATTTTCTTTTTCCTCCAACCTTTGTCTGGTTTTTCTTCCTACGTGTGCCTTCTGCGCCACCACGTTTCTCTCTGTTACTCACTGCATTTCCGCACGCTTTTTCGTTTCTGATTTTTTCCAAAGCATTCACTATACGTTCGTCTTTCAACTCCTCTTCTGTGGGTACCATAGCGTCCCATTGAAACTGTCAGCATCATAATAAAAAATTATTCACAGTCACTATCATTAGCTATTGATGTCATCATAATATACATTAATTTACATTAAATGTTGCAACATATTATTATCTATCATACCTCCTCATTACGAAATACAAGTTCGTCAAGCAATTGGGATGATGGTCTTGATGGGGCTGACCAATTAAGCGTCCTGGGCAAATAGTTGCATGGCTTTTTAATGCACACTCTTGATCTTCTCAGTTCTGGAAAGGTCTCAAACGCCCATATTTGAAGAGCAAAAATGTAGCCTGGAAATGATGGCCTTTTATTTTTCCCTTCAAATACTAACGCTGCGCATTTGGGAAGCTTTTCTACCAAGTCTTCCCACACAACGTCGCCCCACGGATACTTATTGAACTCTTCAATGTTGTCTACCAGGTTGAGGTAACTTGTAGGGATCTTGATTGTTGGCTGGTTTCCAAGAATATAGTTCCCAAGAACATGCAACAAACCAACTTTAACGGCATCTAATCTCTCAAACTCCATCTCTGCTCTTCTATTACCTAGGGACTCAAAAACCTGCCTCAGGTCTGAACGGTCAATACTCCTCTTTCCATTGAAGAATTTTCGCCACACATCACCCTGAGGATTTGCACTTAATGTAGGTTTATTATCTGCAAACTGAAATCCGGTTATCAAAGCGAAGTCCTCTTTCTTCATTGTAATCAACCTCTTGCCTATTTGGAACTGAATGGCCTTCTTCACATCACTGTCATGCAATGGCTCCACATAATTCCCTACCAGCATGCCTATAAGTTGAGCACTCAGCCAGGGCATATTCCCTACATCAAGTAGATAGCCAAAAACAGTTTTCCTGAAGTCAATCACTTCATCTTCAGTCAAGATGCTGCGTATACTCTCTACAGCCTTGACTGGATTGCAAAATGAATTGATTGTCATGTCAAACTTGCCCTCCAAAATGTGTGCATCACAATAACGCTTGTATTCCTGTTCACCACAAACTCAGATTAAGTTTATTTTTTATCACCAAAAAAAAGTTTGACACATGAATAATTCAGTACTTAGTTTCACAGTACAAAACAAACATGTTCACATGGTCATTATGGTGGACATAGCACAATTGGACACGTATTGCAATAACTAAATTCACTACTACATTTCAGTCAACAACAAATAACTCCTTCAATGCACTTATTTACCTTTTACTTTTGAAACATCAAACTGTAGGACATTCTATAATGCAACACTCAATATTACACTACAACTCTCAATGCATTTCTTCAATTCAGCATCTCCACGCTGCACACAATGCATTCGACACCAAACTTTACCTACTACATTCCAATGCATATGCCATTTGTATTACACATCCAATACTACATTAATACAACTACATCTGCATTCAATTCTATAATCAAGATTAACATACACCAACTACCAAACTACACACTTAATCTAACTGAAGAAACAAAAATTAATGACATTGCAATGCAATCAATGCTTTTACGAAGCCGAAAATACACAACAATCTGAAACATAAGGTTAATCCGAAATAAGAACCACAAGTTTCTCACATTTTAATGCTCTCAATGCTTTAATGGAGATGAACACACACAAATAATTGAAACATACACTTGCTTCAAAATGAAAAAACACAAATTTCTCACATTCACAAGCACTCAATGATTTCATCGAATTGAATAAACATTCTAAACTTCACATGCTGACATCACCGAACAAAAGAAAAACCCTACCAACTACAATCAGTCCAAGAATGGAACAAAAAAAAACAAAAAACTCACCTTCCCGTCGATTGTAACTACTTCGTAGTGTAAGCCGCTGCTGTCTGCCTTTGATTTCCCTTTTTTCGTCGCCATTTTTCTTCTCGACTAAGACGGAGTTGATGTTCCCTCTGAACTGCGGCTGCCTGTTTTCTATCTCTCCCGGTCTCTCGAGTAATTTTGTTAGGTTTTGCTTCTCAATTCCTTCCATAATTGAAATCCTAAGAAATCGCGCCGAAAATCCCTCGTTTCTCTCAATCGCAGTCGCAGGGATTCTTTCCGTTTCTACCGCCTTCTCTCACCAATGCACGTTCGAGTACCATTTTTCTGTTGGAGGGTGTTTTTGTCTTTCAAAGCATATAATTTCCGTTTCTTTTATTTCTTTTATTGATTTTGAGTCACATATTTGACCAAAAACTCATCCGGTCTTACTTTGAGAATCCGGATATGTTTTAGTAATATTCCAGTTTTTTTCCCATTCCTTTTTTAGAGAAGTCGTGAATTGAAGCTGAAACAAAAGGAAAAAGATTAACATAAAAAGGAAGCGATGAATGGGAGCAATATTACAAACTACCATATGCCCGTCTTCAAAAAATGATAAAAAAGAATTAATGATTGGTAGCTAGGTTTTTTTATCATTAAAACATGTCTCTATTCATATCAAAAGATTCACGATCATTATATCAAACAAAGGAAAAATAAACCTGACACCAACTAAACTCCAACAACTACGGCTGTAAACCCTATGATAAGACTTTGAGACGGTCACCCCTGAAAAAGCAACACGAATCGCTAACCATGTATTGGGCTTGACACAGCCAAACCTGTTCTCATAGATCCAACCATACCCAATGACATAAAGAGAGGCTAAAAACTCAAACAAACTGTAAAAACCAACAACAAAGATGGACACAAGAAAACAAATGACAAACACAAATGACAAACAAATAAAAAATACTAGGAAAACTTTCATGAACTCTAGCACTTCGTACAACCCATGGTGGTGGTTCAAGAGGAGGTCGTACCACCGGTACCATGCTAATTGATCCTCCATTATCGAACGCAATCTTGCCTACTTGAAGTCCTTGCAACACTCCTCGTCCCGCACTCATAGCTACATCACCCCTCACAACCATCTTCTTCTCTGTCGACCCCTCCACCTCGACAAAAGAAAATTGCTTCCCTGCTCTCGCCCAACCTCACAATTAGCAAATCAACACCGAAGTAACAACGAAACCTTGCTCGACTCCACCAAACAGCGGAAGCGGACTTCGTGGGTGAAGATTGCCGAGGAGAAACCCAGTCGTCCTTCGTATAACCGAAGACGAAAAAAACTCTAAGGGCTGCGAAACCCTAGAGAGAGAACTCTACTAGTCTGATTGGTAGCTAGGTTGTAGGTAGTAGAAAATAATATATGCAGTAGGCTTCAATATATTCATGAATTAATGTATTCAAGCAAATGATCGATTGAATTGAATGTAGTAGCCGTTAGCTAATCAAAACTGAAATGGGGCTTGAATATAATTCATTGGAGGGCTTAATTAAGTTATCTAAAAACTGAGATGATGATCCCTATCGCTAAAGATGGAGGGAGAGAGCTACACATATATAACATCGCCTAATATATAAGCTCCTTTATATCGAATACAACTAATTAAAACAGATAGATGATGCTATACAAAAACTAAGCTATGGACAAGAAACTGAGAAAGAACACATACATCAACGATAGATCTATCTATGGGAGTACATCAGAAAGCTGGTTTGGGGATATACTTACGCACCCGAACTGGTTTCCCATTAATGGAGAGCTTGACTTTATAGGTGCCATTGAGGACAAAATGGATGATTCCCGGAGTGGTAAAGACGATGACCCCAAAAAGAGGCTGCTGATTAGGCTGCTTTACTGGTTGCATAGACACAGCCTCCACACACTCACGACCATCAAACATGTCTTTGAAAAAGCTTTTAATCTCCTCTTCACCCACAGGAAAACCCCTTAAAAAAGTAGCAAACAATGATCGCCTGTCTCTTGGTACCTCACTGAAGCCTAAAGCCCGAGGCAGCGGCCCAGGCACCGATCGAGAAGATGAAGACGAGGCACTGGGAGAATCCAGCTGTCTGGCCGTCTGCGGCGTCGCTGAAGCCATTTCCATGAGATCCTTCAATGCCCTCACGCACCCACCATTCACTACCTTCTTGATCCCGAAAGCTGCCGCAGCCCGGTTTTGACGCAAGAAGTCAAGAGATAGGTGCTTTCCCACGAGAGCTTGAGTGAGGGAGATCTCGGGATCACTAGTGGCAGGTGAGATGCTAAAAAAAGAGAAGTGACTAGGCAGGTGTGGCGGGTCTACGGCGGTAATGCATCTCAGCACAAACACAGCTTCATTGGCCAGTCCTTTGATCATTTCGAGGGAAGAAGACTTGATCTTGCCCACAAGGCTCGAGAGAGTGACGTGCTCCAGCCAAACCCACAACGCGATTGTGAAGGCTGCAACATTGGGATCGGTGTGCAGCTGGAAAACGAGGATTGAGTAAAGTTGGCGGTCGATTGTGTGGAAAACCCGATTCATCTCAGCGCAAACTCTAGGATAGGCGCTTGCTTCCATTTCGCGTCCTGCAAAATGTATACTCATTCACATCAGCTGGATTCACATGATTAATAAGCTCCAAAACACAAAACCTGAAACTAGCTAGCTAGCTAATTAGGAATATGTATATACAAGTAGATCAGATGTGGAAGCAAAGCTAAAGTAGCAAATAATTGATCGATATCAGATAATACCAGAGATAAAGAAGCTAAGCGGCAGCTGCTCTCAGGCCGGACTCTCGAGGTACGTAGTGAAAACTGATCGGTGCTTACAGTTCAGCACTATACGCACATATATTATTAGAATGTATATATAGGCCCTAGTATAACATATATGGCCACACGTCTAACCAGGGTAAAATTAAAGCACATACGTTTCTTCTAATTCTTTTTATTTATCTTGAATTGAAACAAAAAATACAATTTGTAAAGATTTATAAAAGACAACCTGTTTATTTTGATGGAAGATGACAAATTAGGATTAAATAACAAATACGAAGTATTACCAATGATACATTATACTTTGGTACCTCAACTATTCAATAAAGCACACCAATACCTTATTAACACATACTACCTTTGTTCTCTTTTAAATGTAACATTGGACTTTTTGTAGTACTCATACTTTATTTTATTACAAATAAAAATGAAAGATGTGAATGGTTAAACTTGTGTGTTGGCAAACATGAAAAGCAGGTCGTTGCAATTAAAAAAATGGAGGCAATATGAGGTAAACAATCCATTTTTTGAATAAATGTGTGCTTAACTAGTAAACACCTTTTATGTCTTATGGATGTAGCTTAGTAAGACACACCTTAGTTTTTTAAGCACATACTCCGTATATAAGTATCTTAAGGATCTCTTATTCCTAATGGTACCACTTTTAAAAGTGGGTCAAAATAATTTTACTTAAACATCCTAACTACACCTGATTAATTATGAAAAAATATACTATGACTACTTAAATATATATTATACCAAATTGATAAAGTCATATCGAGTCAACTATGATTCCGCTATATATGTTTGAATGATTAGATTATCTAGATACATAGTCTTTCCTTTTCTTTTTTAACTTGCTAGTGTAACCAATAAAAATTTTAACTTGTTTACCACGATCATAAATAAATTAATGGATGTATTTAAAATTTTTATAGGGAAAGTACATACTTCTTAAATAGCTATGATCCAATAATATATCTTAAAGTTCAAATTTTACCATGAAGTGCATTACTTCTATATAGTTCGTTAGAGTACTTTTTTGTTTCATTTAATTGTTGGATCGGAGTACCAAAATGCCCATCATTACCATTAGTTAGCATATCTTAAAATTACGAAATCAAAATTCAATAGAGCAATCTGCAGCAAATCCAAGTTTGTCACCTCAAAAAATTGTCTGCCAACAGAAAATTTGAACACGCAAATCAAAATATATAGGAAATCTCAAAAAAACAAAAGGCGCTATAGCATGACCACTAGGTCCCAGTCTAGAGAATTTCCTTGGGTCTAAGACTAGACTTTTTCCTCTTTGTAATGTTTTAATTTCTTTCTTTTGTTTCCATTTTGCATTGTAATAATGTTTGTTTTTCTTTTTTAATAAAATTTACTTTTTCTAAAAAAAAAAAAAAAATCTATATGCTCTAGTGTATTTAAATTATTTTAAAAAAAAGTAAAGCCAATGAGCAACACAAAAATTGTTTTCTGATCAATTTTCTCGAAAAACAAAAAAAATGTGATATAAAGTGATCACTAAAACATGTTTTTATAATTTGGAGACATAAATAATTAGCTAGTTCAAATTAAAGAATTTTTATAATGTGCACAAAAAGATTACAATTTTTACCGTGTCTCAAATTACATCCTTCAATGTTTCCATTTACACTAACCTAGCGGTGTTAGTTCAATTTCAATGATGAGGACCACATTTATAATAATTTGAACAACTGGGCAATAAAATTTACAATATGTTCTATAATGGAGTTACCAAAAGTGCAATATACCGTATGAGAACAAGAAAGGGATTAATGTTACTTTGAAGAAAATTAGATTTTTAAAGTTAGAATATGTGACAAAATATTACAAAGTACATAAATAGGTGATAGAATTTTACAGAATGAGAAAGTTATAGATAATTTGTAGTAAAATGAAAATGCATCGAATGAGGTATTTATAGAAAAATTATAAAACCCACCCTACCCCGGGGTGGGGCCCCAAACCTAAAGCATATAACTCTTTCATTTATTGGCTCACCATGCCGGCAAATGATCCAAAACGGAAACCACCAAATGGCCCCACAAGTTAAAAAAGTTTAAAAATTAATACATACTACGTACACATAAGTCTTTTAAACGTGCAGTGACGTGGGGCGATTAATGCCCTCATTTGCTCGACTTCATCGGGAAGACACAAGTACATCCTTTTTAGGGAATACGCATCTTCCTTTTATGAGAACGGGTCAAGAAAAATGTGTTTGAAATATAAACAAATTAAAAAAATGCAAGGGAAAAACTTAAGGCTTGTTTAGTAACAGAGATATTTTGTAGTTTTCTTTTTCTATTTTTCGTTCTCAAATTTTCTGTTTTCATTTTATTGTTTTTCTACCTCCAATTTTTTGTTTTCACTTTTTAGTTTTCCGTTTTCAAATTAAATCTGAAAACATGTTCATCAAACTTTTTCACCCAGTTTTGGGACCGACCAGAAAACCGAAAGTACGGTATTAGTCCAGAACCAAACCTATTACAACCCAACTAAAGTATCAGGTCCCACATATAGGAAAGTCGCGATTGAAACCAATTGTTCCCAATCGATCTTTTTCCGGGACGTCTGGGGAGGGGGTCTGGGGGGTCTTGGGTAATCAGGGCTGAAGCTCACTCCATTGAGTTTCGAACCCGAGACCTCCCGTAAGGGGCAGTGAGTCGGTGACCAGCTGGACTGGACTGCTTCCTCAGGCCCTTAATGTCTCTTTGAATTGAAAAGAATTTGAAAAACACAATCTGTTTATTTTGATGGAAGATGACAAATGAGGGTTAAATAACAAATAGTACTGATATTCGTGTATTTTCCGATTGTATGTTTGCATTTTTAATTAGTTTTTTGATTCGTTAGTTTGGAAATTACACACTTTTGGTGTAATGCTTTAGTTTATTTAAATTTTTGTAATTTGTTTAGATTAGTATTATTCTGAGCTTAGGACAGGTCAAAATAAATCAACCAAAGGATCAAGAAATGGATCCCCAAAGACCAAAAAATGTGCAAAGGGGCAAGATCAATTAGGGATTTGAAAAATATTTCATGTACCCGGTCCGGTATAGGCAATACCCGATCGGGTACTTGCTGTATTCGAAGGTCAAGATCAAATCTGGAAGAACATTGGAACGTGGCTGAAAATCTACAAAATCGGTTGATACCCGATCGAGTATGCCCATATTGTACACATTCTGGGAAACTACTGAAGGTACCTAATCGAGTATCCTATATACCCGGTCGGGTATACAACCTTGCCACCTCCAAACATGTGACACCGCACCCGAACGTCCTTGAAAATTCAATTTAAAATTCAAGTTATGTATTGAATTTCCGGTTTACCAAACAATTGTAAAACAATTTATGTTTTACGTAGTGCATGATTGAATATTGTATTGTTCAAACTCGTATATTAGTGTCGGGTTTTGAAAATACTTATTTGGGCCTTATTAATGAAAATAAGAGCCCAACATTACCTAAATAATGTTACTTAACTTTTCAAGACAAGTTGAGGAAGGTCGGGCGGCCCAGACATTATTTTGGGTTCAACCTGCTAAAAATAGCTAGTATTCGAGCATGGGTAAGAATAAAGATGGAAAGTCTTGCTCTTAACGAGACCATTGCTTTGGTTGAACACGTACATTACGGTGCATACATGTACCGGATATATATATATATATATATATATATATATATATATATATATATATATATATATATATATATATATATATATATATATATATATATATATATATATATATATATATATATATATATATATATATATATATATATATGATACGGAGTATCTACTTACTTAATAATAAAGTAGAACCTTCTAATTGAAATTGAATTTTCAATTAATTGTTATTGATTCCAATTAGTGAATATGTATTAATTGCAATTAAGTCCTAAATTCATAGTATTTACTCAATTAATTACTATTGAGTTCAAATAGTGAATATTCATTAAATTAATTGCAATTAAGTTCTAAATTCATATGGAGTAGTAATTAAATACATTACGGAGGAGAAAGTTCACCACCGGAATTCTGAAGGAGAACCGCTGTCTAGCCGCCGAGATTTGAGGATGTTCTCAGTGGTTTTTTTGATGAACTTTTTTGGAGCATGTTCTTCATGAGGTTTGAATTATGTTCACAAATTTCACCTTAAATTCGATTGAGAAGTCAGTTAAACAAATTATTGAAAATACTACATTTTATATATAAATATATTGGCTCAGTGTTTTTCAATAAAATTTTTATTGAGCTGAAAGTATGTGGATATAATGTAAACTTCATATTGAATATGCTTACAAAATTTCATCAAGAAAAAACCACTGGGAACTGTCTCAAATCGTGGCGGCCGAACGACAGTTTCAGTCATGATGTCCTGATTGGAATATTACTCTATTATGAGCATCAATTTCCAAATAAACTACAAATAGTATAATCATTCCATTTAGAGAGCATATGTATATTTGGAATGTTTTATAATATTGGATTTCATTCCATATTTAATGTTATAATGTTTTATCAAGTTCGTTCTAAAAATCACGCATAATTTGTAAAACTTTCATTCGTTATTTTGAAATACTTTGTATAGTTTGTTGCAATAAAATATATTTGAAATGCTTTGTATAGTTCACATTCCTTTCACTTTATACACTAATACTATATGTCAAGCTCGTGTGATGCACGGACGATCAATAATATGTAAGAACCATTTATTTACTTTTAATATACTCTGTATAACTTTTCTTGACAAAGTAAATTAAGTAAATTTATTTCATATTTGTACAGTGTTATTCATATGGTTTTTTTTACAACAATATTACTAAAATAAAACTTATTTACATAAATATGCCTACAACATAGTGTTGTAGTAATTTAAGTTCGAAACTTGAACATGAATTACTATACTTTCATTACTACTCTAGTAACTAATCATATTTTTGTAAACCATCTTTATTTTGGTCATATTAATGTAATTATTTCTATTCATATGCACAATATAATTTTTCTATTCTACAATACTAAGTTGCTTTTAATTATAATAATAATATTTTTGTTTAAAAACAAAAAAGTAAAATAAAAGAATAAATTGAATTTTCAATGAAATAAAGTGAGGTTTATATTTATTGAGTATTTAGCGATAAGAGTATAATTAACTTTCCTTATAAGATACTCAATTTTTTTTTAGATTCAAAAATATAGATTTTATTCATAGAAAAATAAAGTACAATGCGGGAAAATAAATAAAGTAAAAAAAGTACATAAAAGAAAAGAAAATGTAAAGACAAAGACTAGACCCAAGGGAAATCTCTGGACTGTGATCTAGTCGTCATGCTATGCCGCCTTTTGTTCTTTTGAGATTTTCTGTAGATTTTGAGTTGAGTGTTCAGGTTATCTGTTGGCAGGCAATTTTCATTGGTGACCAGCTTTGATTTCTGACAAATCGATCTGTTGAATTTAGAGTTCCTAATTTCATCCTCGTTTGAAATAGGAGGACGACGATCACTTTCGGTTGCGTGTCCCAGAAAATCGTCTAAGAAGAAAGAGTCATCTGAAGGATCAAAGTCGTCTGAGGCATCAGAGTAAGCCTCTATTAGTGGAGTTTGGGGTTGTTTATCAAAATAGAGGGGTTGTTGCTTCTCGCCATATGCTCTCTGAACTTCATAGTTAAATATGAGTTTTGAAATGGAGATTTCTTGAGTGTCAGCCGAGGTCTCATTCTTCTGATGCATTGGTTCTTCCTGCTCTGAATAACATAATCCAACAAAATTAGCAAATAATCTCATAAAAACATTGAGTTTGGAGTTATGTGGGCCCTAGGGGACTAGAATGTAACCACCCTTTTCCTTTGCAATCATCATATAACAACCCGATCTGTTGAGCACCGAAGAAATCGTGATAGGGCCAAACTTTTTGCTCCGCCCGTGATTAAATTTTTTTTGAGCTTGTGATTTGGTGGATAAAACGGTAGATCTCGGGTGCAAGCTCTGTTTTGAAATTAATCTTCTTTAAAGAGGATTTTTTTATTTCAAAGATAACAATTTCCTTATTTCTGATAGCAACTCTGAATACGGAAGATTCAAGTTTGATAGAGTCAAATCCCTGCTCTCTGACATTCATGTTATTTCCATGTTTATGTTTGTGCTTTTGATTAGTTTTGAGTGATTATTACTCTAGAAATTACACACTTTTGGTGTAATAGTTTAGTTTGTAAAATGTTTGTAAATTGTTTAGATTAGATTTGTTCTGAGCTCAAACAGGTCCAAGACCACTCTAGGGACCATTGGTGAACATCACAAGTGGAAGGAAGGTGCAAAAATTCCAAAACAAAATAAAGATCCTGATTTTTGGTATTGTACCCGGTCGAGTATACCCTATACTCGATCGGGTAAGTTGCTGAAAAGTCAAATCGAATCAACCCGGGAACAAGGCAACATGCAGGAAGATTTTTAACTCGATCGCGTATCCATACCCGATCGGGTAGCCGACATACCCGATCGGGTATGACCCCAGATTTTCAGTTTCGAGGAAACTAACCCTTACCCGATCGGTCGAGCTGAAAACCCGATCGGGTACACGACCCTGCAGGCCTAAAAAGCCTATAAATACACCCCATTTCCTCCACAAGAGAGGTACCAATTCACATATACTTCTAAGCTCAGTTTAGACAAGTTCTTTCTTTATATTTTTATCATGTTTAGTCTCCAAATGAGGAGCTAAACCCTTCCATCTTGGTTTTGCTACTTTGAAGCTTAATGAATTTGTAAGTTGTGAGTTATTATCTTTAATCTTCTTCCTTGAATATTAATTCTTTCTTTAAATACTATTTCTATATCAATGTTGGGGAGTGTTACTAAGATGACAATTAGTTAACATCTTGACATTAGTTATAGTAATAGTTATTTCTTCCTCTACGTTAATATCGGGGAGTGTTACTAAGATGACAATTAGTTAACATCTTGATATTAACTATAGTAGGATTCATCTTCTTTAATATTCTTCCTTGAGTATTAATTAATTCCTATTCATATTTCATATTAATATTTTGAACATTACTTAAAGGATCAACTAGTTTTGTTTCATATATTAATTATTACTAGAATCGGTCGATTAATACGCTTGTTATTAATTCGGTCCTTTCGCGGTAGTAAACTTGGGTTATTAATGCATGCGTTTCATGGTTAATAAACCAAGGGGAATTAATTATATTGATTAAACCAATAAACCGCTTGTGTTGAGGTTATCAATCTCAATCGTTTTCATCTTGATTTTATTGCTACTATCGAGTGAATATACGGCGCGTGTTCTATATTAACTCGGTAGTAAGTTTTATTAATGAACGCGTCTCGTTATTAGTAACTACCCTCGATGAATTGGATATACTCCTCGATTGAGTATTCGAGAGGAAGATAGTTAAAGATATAACCGGGATCGACGAACATTTCATTAAGTGGATAAAAGCAAAGCCAAGTCTTCGTCTCATTAATTAAACCACATAACTCGTTCATCTTCGTATTTAAATATAATTTAAAGTTCATCAATCAAATATAAACCCCCCTTATTGTTACTTATCTATTTCTGTAAGAAGAAAAGTATTCCTTTCCCTGTGGATACGAACCTTACTACGCTATACTACGTATAAGTGTTGTATTGTATTATTATTTTGAGTGCACATCACGACAAAGTGCACGTCACTCTCCAAAGAAGTGAAACTTTTCTGTGTCATCTGTGTCCTTTGAGAAGTCATCTGGCATTGCCTGGATTATTTCAGTTGGGTCCATATGTGAAATAATTCGTTTTTCATTTGAAAGAGGAGCGTGGGCTGAGATTGAAACTGCCTTGCTGTAATCTTTGTCTGTTTCGTTCCTCACAACGGCAGCCCATGTGAGTTGGGCGGTACCCGCTGGACATGTTTCCTCGACATCCAGACTGTCGATGTATGGAGCCAGTTGTGTGACGTTGATTTTCTCAGCCGAGGAACCAGATGATGAGACGGTTGGGACAACCAGCGCGGTGGTCGCCAGTCTTGAACCACCGTATACTGGCGGTCTCGTTTGGCTTCCATTTTGATTGTCTCGCCTTATATTTTTCACAAATCGACTGCGCTCTTCTCTAGCTCTGTGTGTTTCGTTTACCAGGTCCGATGTCTTGGAGTCAAAATCGTATTCGAAGGGCTGGGTTTCATTTTCGAATTGTAATCGATGGTAGCGATTATTGATACCCTCTGTCCTGTTGATTTCAGACTCGGTGCTTTGGAGCGATGGGAGTCTGTGATTGGGATGGAGGGGGTGTCGTCGACCCCTGTATATGACGGTGCTCCAGCCATCGTTTTTCCCCATTTGGGTTTGATGTTGTTGACGACGCTGAGCATCTCGTCTTCGTCCCAGTAAGTTTGGCCCTCGTGTGATAGGCGTTATTTCCATTCCTGTGAGTTGAGTAGGAAGCGGAGCTACGCGAGTTATGGGAGTTCATATTTGGATAGAGTCCTGTACCTGCTCGGGTGGAAGATGTTCTGTTCCCCGTGAACTGTCTAGCATGGGAGCTACCCTGAGGATTTTCCCACTGTTGCTGGTAGCTTTGGTCTCTATACCCTTTGCTGTAGTGATGAAAGGTCCCATGTGTGCAGTTGCAATTGACACACAAAAGGTGGTGTTGATTCTGGCGGTATGCAGGTTGCCGGAATTCCATATGGGTTTCAAGTTGTTGTTGAATTTTTAGAGAGATGGAAGAGATCCTCTCTCTTCATTTTCTATTCTCTTGTATGAACATAGAACTTATGACTATAAGATACTCAATTAAAACAATAGTTTCTGTTGAAAAATATGCGATAAAAATGTCCGTGTAGTTTGACCATAAGATATAACAATGAAAAACTAATTGATGTAATTTTCTCATTTATTTTAAAAATCTACATTTTTATTTACTAATAAAACTACCTTTCAAATCACACTTACAATAGTTTAAAAGTACAAATTGAGAATTTCAAATTAAAAAATTCAAATAATACTAAAAAGGTACTCCCTCCGTCCCCTTTTAAATGTCCCATTTTACTATATTGGGATGTCCCTATTTAATTGTCTCATACTTTATTGGGTAAAGTTTGTGTGGCTCAAAATCATTTTTATTTTATTCTTACTTAATCAATTATTATCAACCACACAAACCCACTTTTCTTAAAACTCGTGTCACCCTCTTCTGGGACATTTAAAAGGGGGCAAAGGGAGTATAATATAGTACTACTTTCGTCCCGAAAAGGTCCGCCATATTGATGGTCAATGATGGCAAGCTTAGGACAATGATTTCAATTATTATGAAGTATAATCTTTATATATATAACAAGGGAACCGTGAGAACAATAACTGTTCCCGCCAGTCCCTAATTAGCATATAACTGCTTTTCTAAACTGGCTGAACGATTGGCCAATTACGTGCTGCAAGGTTTTGACAGTTTCCACTCGACCACTCCTCTGCAACTTGGTACACATGAAGTAACCCCCTGGCACTTTATGGGTTGTTGTTGTTTGGAGTTTGGACTTCATCTCCAGAATTCCTCAATCGAGAAGGTTGTCGTAAATGATAAGAGTATTGATGTTAGATCATGGAACATACGAAACAGCACTGCTATGAATTTGACTTGCCTATACTCATGTTTCAAACATCTAGCTGTAGCTTGGTGAGGGCGGCGGAAAAAATTCAGTCGTTGATGTGATAAACATGGAAGCAGAATGTTAAGGACTTAAGGTCACGATCGACTCACGGATGGGTTAGAGCTAATAGCAGAAGATGATAAAACAAGACGGCAAGAGGCAAGTTTCTCAATCGCCCATTTCGGTTTGTTGCTTAATTTGATTGAAAATTGTAAAATTTACAGATTATCGTTCTGTTACTTTGTAAATCAAGAGATATCTCAATTTTTTGCCAGTAGTAGTTAGATACGTTGTAATTCAACTTCAACTAATGCTAACTAAGAATAATTCCATCCAACAATGGTGAAAAAATGGGACACCACCTACATCTATCCCGCTAACTCTTCATCCACGCCCATGTCCTACAGTGCAGGTCTTCAATTAGACGATTGAATATATAGTAGTTTCAATTCTTTTTAGTGCATTTTGGTTTCTTTGTCGAAAAATTATTTATCCTACATATATATATATTAATATATGCTATTTGATGAAATGCTTACATGATATAGAAAAACAGAATTTTAATTGCAGTTGTAGTATACTTTATAGTAAACTCAATATTCAATATATTACTATATTCTTGCTGATTCTTTACTATACTCTTGCACATTGTTTAATCTACATTTTAATATATATATCTTTGCTGATTGTTTTATCTATATATTACTACATTATTGCATATTGTAAGGGTCATCGTCTTAAACTCTTAGTCTGCTTATTCATATGGCAATGTGATTCCATCATTTGAACCTTTTTTCTCTCTTTTTTTTCCTTTTTTTTTCCTTCCATCATTTGAACATAATTTCTGCTTATCCGTATGTGAAAATGGGAGTCTAAAAATGCTTAACTGAAGAGATTAAATTAATCAAGAATGAACTAAAACAAGCACAATCTTTAGTTCTTGACAACTTGAGATACTGCAGACTCCTTTTTACACTGGTGGGACAAGGGGTAGACTTTGATATCCTTAATTTTGACAGTAACTTCAGAGTATAAAGCAACGCGAAAACGGAACATGGACTAATGTTCATTTTAAATGAATTGAGAATCTAAATTTATATATATTGCATTGTATATACCTGCATGGCTGCATATGTAATACTCCGTATTTGATAAAATGTTTAGTTGATCTTTCTTTCTTTTTCTAAATACCATTAGTCCATGTCTGCCTTTCTAGATGGTAATTCTAAAATTTAAGCTTTAGCATTCTTCCTAAAGCTTTTTATTCTTCCTAAATGAATTGAATGTCTGGTTATATTTTCTGTGAGTAGGGAGTACTAGGAATGTGTGAAAAGCTACATGTGAAAGGTTTGATGTTGAGGTTAGACCTATATCGCTTTGCTCTTGCAATGACAAGTTGACAACAGAATTCGTGCATATGATCGATTTTCCATCGTAGGTAGGTTGGAGCTAACTTTGTTCTTTGTCCTTTGGGCTTCTTATTTTTTTACTCCTATTTTTATACTACATATAACTTACTTGAAATTTGTTTTTCTAAGGGGGAGATCTTCTCGAAAGAGGCAATGCGTTGCCTTGACTCTTGAGGTTAACCCTGGTGGTTTGTTATTCACTGGCGAGCAAGCAAGAGTGAAAACTAAAATGATTTATCAAATAACTTATACAAATTGTATATTGTTTGAGAACATATGCTATTAACGCAAATTGTAAAATGTACTTTGGTGAAAGATATTTGATGTATAATATATACTACTATTGCTATTATTAGCAAAACATTGTCCTTTAAAATACGGAGTAGCTTAAAAAATACAGAGTAGCTTATTCATTTTAAATAAAATACATGAATGGATTATTTAAATGACAGTCGTAGAATGTACTACATATGTTTTTTAACTTTAAAATTAATATCGCTTCAGATGTCCGTATTTACAGTAATTTTTTTTTGAAATCCATTTACAGTAATTTTTTATTACATACAATTCGACTAATGACTATAGCCGGCCTAATTGTGACTGCAAGTGCTTGGCCGCCGCTACCGAACTACCCGCCACGGGCACTACCTCATAGACTGACCTGATTAGTTGGGGAATAAGGGGAAGAAAAATAATGTGTAGTGCTCTATTTAGGGAACATATATAGATTATGAACACATATTCAGAGGGTAGGACAATATTTCACTTCTATTTAGGGAAATTGCTTTATAAGTCAAGTGTTTCATTTGTAAATGTTTCATTACATTTTTATAGTACGTACTACGAGTATTTTTATGGAGATAATTCCCTAAATAGGAGTAAAAACGTTTTGAAATTCCAAAATAGGAGTATCATGTTTTTTATTCCCTGAATAGGAGTAAATTTTTGCCAAGTTTAGTTTTACAAGGCTTTAAAGATGGCAGTTTCTTCCAAACTTGGCAGATTACTCCTATTCAAGAAATAAAAACATGATACTCCTATTTTGGAATTTCAAAACGTTTTTACTCCTATTTAGGGCAATTTCTGTTTTTAATGCGGAGTAATTCTTTGTACAATGATGATGACCATGTGTGCGGGCTGTGATGATGGAATCATGGAAAGGAAAAAAACATGTCAGCTCACCTAGAGACAAATATTTTGTGATTAAAAATGCATTCTTATTGTAAAGGCACCATAATATATTAGGAGCCCATTTAGTAAGCATGATTTCCAGCTTATTAGGCTTATGAGCTAACTTTTTCACCAAACACGTAACTAACTAGAAGTCCGAATTGATTTTTCACATTTTAAAAACTAAATAGATACAATGAGAAAGATCAATATTCCGTGCATCGCACGGGCACTATACTAGTTGTATGTAATTTATAAATTTTATACTTTTATGAAAATATTTTGAATAAGGGACATTTTGATAAAAATTATATTCTAAATAATTTCGTATTAAAAAATAGCATTGGTCAAAGTTGATTGTCATTCACCAAAAATAGTCAATTTAATGAACCTTTTCAGGACGCAGAGAGGAAGTAAATTGTGAGTTCATACACATTGTGTGATTCTACTAAATAAATATAAATCATATTTATCTATATTTTTATATTTTCCAAAAAATTATAGGATTGGAATTTTCTATTACATCTTAAAAAATTAATTGGCTTAATTAGAAGTATATAATAATGGCATGGAAAAATATATGCCCCCGAAAAGTTTCTCTTTTATATATTTTCTCCGTTCTTTTTTAGTTAAAACACTCCCGTTTTCACGTTAGCCAACACACTTCTTTGATTATTAATCTGTAACATATATAATTTATTGTAAGTAAAAAACATGAGATTTTTGGAAATTTAAATTGAGACGAATTGAACAATATTTTTTGAAATGTCTAATACATTAATAAATAAAATATGATGACCAAAGTAGGACATGCGATTAGTGTAAAAATCATTTTGTATCATTTTATTCCAATAAATGGAATCACAAGAGCACATTGAGGTCTAAAATTTTGTAGAAAATGCACAGTGCATGTAATTACTCCATCCTCGTCTTTTACTATTAAAGCTAATTTCAACTCATCATTTGATTTCGTATTCCCATAAATATTGTCGCACTACCTACAATATTAATCAAGGGAGGGCAGAGATAAAATTGTTGCATGTCGCGTATTTGATTATATGGGATGAAGCTATGCTGATACACGAGGCATGCTCTAATATTTTAGACGTTACACCAAGAAACATCATGAATAACTACATGCTATCGTTGATCGATGACCTAGGAGTTACATATCTTAGTTACAATGTTGAATATCTTAATAACGCTTCAATGGTTGGATTATTACCCAACCATGCCCTTCATTTTAAAATCGGAGCCCCTGATAATGTGATTGAGGAATATTAATCATGCATAAGTTTTATTCAATAGAACGTGATTGATCATAACCAGATTGGAAAAACAAGTACGACAAGTCATAATTCGAAAAGTTATGAAAGACAAAGTTTACATATTAAAAATCTCTTCGTCACCATATAACAACTTTATTCAATTTCCGAATAAAGCGATTTTTTGTGATGGTAAGCTTTGCAATGACAATCAATAAAAGTCAAGGCTAAATGTTATCATATAAAATTTCATTTATATCTTGAGAAAGAAGTTTCATTAATGATCAATTGTACATTGCAATAACAAGAGTAATGAGTGAAGATATTTTAAAATATTCATATGT